AAACAGCATTTTAACTTATTAATTCTAATATTTTTCTGATAGTTAATTTCTGCTTTATTTTTACCATTTCCTTTCTTGTGCTTTACAACGTTTGTGTCTTTGTTTTTCCCAAGGACTTCAGGTTGGGATTTTAATTCATTTCTTTTCATTCTTTATTTTTATTGATGTAAGTGTTTAAGGCTATGAATTCCTCTTTAGTCGCAGCTTTAATCATATCCCATACATTCTGTTTTTATTATCATTATTTTTAAAAGAAATTCTGAAACTTAATTTAGCATTTTTCCTTTACCAGAGTTATTCAGTAGCAAGTTTTACATTTTCAGCTAGAAAAGACACTTTAGAAATGTTGTTATTAATTTCTATTAATATTATACTCTAATCAGAGAATGTCATTTGAGTTATGTCTGTATTATGAAAATGAGGTTTTCTATGTGATATAACATGATTAATTTATGTGAATCTTCCATATGCCTTTGAGAAAAAGGTATTGTAAATTGTTATTGGTGGTAAAATTCAATATAGCTTCATAAGATCACCCTTATTCATGGTGTGAAAAGTGTTTTATATCCTTCCTTTATTTTTATTCACTTGATTTTCTTGGTCTGGGATTGATACATTCAAGTCTTCTATTATTATTTTGTTTCTAACTGTCTCTCCTGGCATTTCCTGGACTTTCTGTTTTATAAATGTGGTGGTAGTGTTTATGGCTATTTAAAAATACTATCTTTGTTATGAAGCATGACCTTTATCATTTTAACATGTCTTTCCTTGTTTCATTTAATGCTTTTTGTGATGATTTATACTTCATCCAATATCAAGATATCAACCCTGCATTAATTTATTTTTATTATTATCATTATTATTTTTTTTTTTTTTTTGCTTACTGAAACAGGTGCATCTTAGATCTACAGATAAAAACTACTCAACAAAGGTCAATAACCATTTCAGCTCTACTCTGTTAGAGCCATATTCTGTACAGTCTTCAGGATCTAGGTTAACTGGTTATTTTCATTAGTTCATGTCGTCTGCAGTAGTAGAAAAACAAGGCATTGTATTAGTTTAAATGAAATGCACTGCTGACAGCCAAATCCAGTGGCTTATATTCCATATTTTTTTCTTTAGATCTTCTACTTTGTTGATATAAGCTTTAATGGCATCTTCCTTGGAAGTCCCTTTTAGCTGATTCCAGGCATCCCACCTGGCCTGGCCTTTGAGATCCGACAGCCCAGGCCACGCTGTTTGTGTCGTCTGCAGTTGTTTGTTTGTAGCGGCTGTAGAGGAACGTCATCTCATTATCTGCTGACTTGGTCTTGGGGTGTTTTGCATCCTTACCAGCTTTGTCAAAGTCGGCCTGAGACATGCCAGCGGGGTTGCAAGGATCCTAGGGCACCCTACATTTTTATTACTTATATTTGCCTGATAAAACTTTGTCCAACTCTTTATTTTTAACATTCCTGAACCTCTTTAAGTATGTTGATGGTATGTAGCATAGAGTTGGGCTTTACTTTGTGAGTCAATCTGAAAATCTCTTTAACAAGTTAATCAAGCTTATTTATATATATTAATGTGACTAATATGTTTGGTCACATCAATAATCAACTCTTATTTTTTTTTCAACGTTTTTATTTATTTTTGGGACAGAGAGAGACAGAGCATGAACGGGAGAGGGGCAGAGAGAGAGGGAGACACAGAATCGGAAACAGGCTCCAGGCTCTGAGCCATCAGCCCAGAGCCTGATGCGGGGCTCGAACTCACGGACTGCGAGATCGTGACCTGGCTGAAGTCGGACGCTTAACCGACTGCGCCACCCAGGCGCCCCATATTTTTTTATATTTACTGTATATATTGTTATAGATACTATGTTTCACCATGTGGTCTGTTTCCTTGCCTTTCTTTTTTCAGGGGTCTGGAGTAGAAAGAGTATTTAATTTGGTTTAGGAACATTTCTTTTTTTTTCCTAATGATTACGTTTATTACCTTAGTCCCTTTAATTCCTTTTTTAGGCTTCTGCTAACTGATTTGTCAGCTTAAAACAATATCCTCTTTTCACTATTCAGTATTCAGTAAATGTAAACATAGTAAAACTGTGTGAACGGTATAAACACAGTAAAATGTGTTTCATTTTTTTCCCTTTTTTCCCCTTTTTTTCTCCTCCCATGTCTTTAGTTACATTTTTAAATTCTGGCAGAATATATAACAGGTATATTCTATCTTTAATCTTTTCCCCCACCTTTATTGTAGTCCTAAATCTGCAATTAAGTATAGATGTTGAATATCTTCAGTGCTCACCAAAGGTCTTTTTGCTGAAATTTCTCAGCTCATATCTGGCTGGATGAAGCTCACCCTCTAGTAGATTCCTAAGGGAAGGTTCATGAGGACTGTGTTCTCTGGACTGTTACAGGTTTAAAGTTACGTTGTATCACCTTGATTCCCTGTGCAGAGGTGAGAGATTTGAGCGGTTCACTAACATTTCTGGTTTGAGAATGCCTTATTCTGTTGGACCGAAAGTACAATTTTCTCTCCACAGAGAAGCAAGTTGGTGTGTCTTCTGGTCCTGATTCTCTTTGGTTTCTTAGTTTTCCTTAATTTGAACACTTGTTGCTACTTTCTCTTTACCACCTGGCCTCCAAGGGATGCCCCCGGGGGGCCAAGTGCCCTCCCTTCCCCCAGAGGCCATACCTCTTCCAGGACTGCTGCATCCGCTCCTGTGCACTTTTCTGCCCCTTGTCTTCAATTCTTTCGGAGCCAGTGCTCTGATCCAGCAGGTCTTATCTCTGTTCTGGCATTCTTCCAGGCCTGCTGGAACTTTCTTCTTCTGAAAGTGATGTTATATCTTGGTGGGTTCTGTTGCTTCTGTATCCCACTCTCACCTCCTTGTTTTTGCTGTGGCCCCAGCCTTAGAGTGGTTCTCCAGCTTTGGATGCTTCTACCCTACTTACATATAAGTTGCAATTTGTCACAATCTTTGTCTCCCAGTTATTCTGTAAGCATGGATGATGGATGGTTTTATTTGCTCCCTTTTTGTATCTGTGTGGTTTTGGGAGAAAGTGAGCAGAGATTTGAATTTAGGCAGGCATCTTCATCCTATGGGAACTCAAAGGGCAACAGATACCACTTTTTTATTTTAGTAATTTTAGCTTAATTGTATTGTAAGAACTTTGAGGGCACATTTAATACATTACCAGGCATATAGTAAGTGATAAGTAAGTATCTGATGGAGGAAAATATTAACAGATATTATAACTCACTTTACTTTAGCAAAAGAGATTATGGAGGAACTCTTCCCATATTTATGGAAAAATGATCATGTCTAAATTTTATTAGTTGCTGACTCAGTGGCTTAATTGTTGCCAGTCTACTAAGGATATAATATTATGGAAATTAAATACAGAAATTGTTTGATGCATTTGGATACAATTCTGAGAGACAAGGTGAGGCGAGCACATATCAGGATAGACAAAATGGTAAAGGTGATGTTTTCCTAATAATGCATGACGTTAGATGAAACTTTTAGGTAAAGAAAACAATCAGCTATGCGTTGTATTTTCTTTGATTAAAAGAAGTACATACATTAAACTCTCTACTTCTAGCTACTTGGAAGGATGTCATGCAAGGCAAAAAAAATCCACGGAATCTTGCCAATGATTTTGATCAGGGAATGTTGGCAGACTGAACGAAATGTCTGATAAAGTAAATGTTGCCAAATAATTTCAATGTTTATAGTAGATGGTTTCTTTTTTTTTTTTATTTTTTTTCTTTTTTTTTTCCAACGTTTATTTATTTTTGGGACAGAGAGAGACAGAGCATGAACGGGGGAGGGGCAGAGAGAGAGGGAGACACAGAATCGGAAACAGGCTCCAGGCTCCGAGCCATCAGCCCAGAGCCTGACGCGGGGCTCGAACTCACGGATCGCGAGATCGTGACCTGGCTGAAGTCGGACGCTTAACCGACTGCGCCACCCAGGCGCCCCAGTAGATGGTTTCTTAAACTTAATTGTGTAGCTCTGTGATGACACAAAAATAGAGTAAATCAGAAAAGATGCGTCAGTACCACTTTCAGGGGACAGAACTGACAGTGCTCCCGTCTTTTTCTAGAGCAGAAGTTTTTATGGTGGTGAGCAGCTCCCATATCTGTGCTGTCAGTGGCTACTAGCCACATGTAGTGAATGGACTGAGGAACTCAATTTTTAACTTGCTTATTTTAATTAATTTATGTGGCCACTTGTGGTTCATGGCTGCTATTTCAGACATGCAGGTATCCAGAGAGACATTCATGAACTCAGGCTTGAAGTTATCCCATTTGGGGGAGAGAAAAAGAACAGAAGAGAAATCTGGGTGGCATGAGGAAGTAAGGGTCATCTGTGTGTTATCTGTTTATCTTCTACCTGGCCATCTATCTATCATCCGTCTGTTGGAGAAAGAGCAAGTGACTACTTTTTCATGGGGGTAAAAAAAGGAAACACTGTTCTCTACTCTTGGCTGAGCCTGGGACTACTTGTTTTAAAGTTTTGAGTCTTCTCGGGGCACCTGGATGGCTCAGTCGGTTAAGCGTCTGACTTCATCTCAGGTCACGATCTCACAGTTCGTGGGTTTGAGTCCCATATTGGGCTCTCTGCTGACAGCTCGGAGCCTGGAGCCTGCTTTGGATTCTGTATCTCCCTCTCTTTCTGCCCCTCCCCTGCTTGCTCTCTGTCTCTCTCTCAATCTCTCAAAAAAATAAATAAATAAATAAACTTTTTTTTTTTAATGGAAGTTTTGATTCTTCTCAATTGTTGCCTCTGCTGCTTTATATCAGACTATGCTATACATCTTTGTGTTTAACTCTTTGAACTCTTTCATATTAGTGAAATCCATACATAGACTATCACTTGGTAAGTTGAATATTCTGAAACTAAGTTAAGGAACATATATACACTCACATTAATCACACCTCAAATCCATGCCCGTGTTTGTCCTGCTGTAAAGCCAAGAGCTATACAGAAATTTATGAACCGGGCTTCCGACCTGGAGGATATAGAATTTAAATATTCTCTCACAAGTATATGGTAGAGCTAAAGAAGACAAGCAAGGGTCATCTGAAATTGTAATTGGCTCACTAATAATCGCAGGACAAAGTTGGAAATAACTACTCAAGCATAAGACGCTACCAAGATGTTTGATATAAAGGCTTGGGCCGAGTCCGTTGTGGAATGGGCTGCAAAGGACCCATATGGCTTCCTTACAACGGTTATTTTGGCCCTTACTCCATTGTTTCTAGCAAGTGCTATACTGTCCTGGAAATTGGCCAAGATGATTGAAGCCAGGGAAAAGGAACAAAAGAAGAAACAAAAACGTCAAGAAAATATTGCAAAAGCTAAACGACTAAAGAAGGACTGAAGGAATGAACAGGCTCTATAACCAGAGAAAAATCACTTGGAAAATTAAGCAGCTTTGGAAGGACCCACTGAGGTTTCTTTTCTGATTTTTATGACAGTAATTTGTAGTCAATGAAGTCTGAGCACATGGAAGGATCATGTTAGCTGTGACCTCTACTACTGCAACTTTTAGGCTTTGGTGTAGAAGTCTGTTGACAGTTATTGTAAATTGGCATTTATTCTATAAATTCTTTATAACTGACTTAGTCATTTGCCATTTTGCAGCTTATGTACTGAAACGAAAACATCCTGTGGAGAGAAATGACTATACATTATGAATTCTTTTCAAATAATGGCTTAGAATGGGGCCCTTTCGGGACGAAAGGAGTTAAGAATGTAAAAATCAAAACTGTCCTGAGGTGAAAAGTGCGCTTTGGCTTAAAAGGCATATAGTATATTAATTATATCTTTTATCATTATTACTTATTCCTTGGAATAGAATCATTTCTGGCTTTCTCAAAGCCACATATTAACTAATGACTTTTTGAGTTCTGCATTTTCTCATTTTAACCTTTGAGCTAATTATCAGACATTCTGCATTTTTTAAAATCTAATTTTATAAAGAATTCTCTTATTGACTATATAGAATACCACCTACCAGATATAACAGTTTTTGTACTTACGAACACTGCAATTTTCTTAGAGATGTCTTGTTGAGTAGAATAACACTATGATTTAAAGCTTGCAGTAAAAATGCCAAACCTTGTGTTACCTTGGAACCAGTTTACTCTTTCTTGTGCTAAGTAGAAATGTGAAGTAGTTAAAATGTCTTATCAGATAATTTGCTCATTATATAGATGCCATTTTTGTGTTTTTTATTCCATTCTTTGTTTTAACTTACCTAGTAGTGATATTCTGCTTTCTGATGAAACAGGTTCATGGTGAAAATTAAAATTTCAAATTTCTTTTAAGGAATTCTTAAAAAGTAATAGTTAAGTCGTAACTCATAAGTGGTAAAGAAAGGTTTAACATTTGGAAAAATTTTGGTCATCATACCAGTAATTGGATGAAAAAGGTAAATTGTGTCAAAATGAGATATGTGTTAAAATTAGAAATAAAGAGCTAAAGGATCTTTCCTTTAGTTAAGTAGATAACTGGAACTTTTTACTATTAAAAAGGCTTTTATAAATGCTTAGTGCAGTAATTTTATTTGCTGTCAGTATATGATAGCTTATTAATGTTTTCCTCCCCTCTGATAATAAATTTTAAATTACAAAAAATTGTCCACCAGCTTTAGTTTAAAAATGGAACTAGATATTGAAATAAATTGGATACTTTTTTATAAAAAAAAAAAAGAAATATATTAACCAGACCTGTGGTTTACTGTTTTTTTTTCTTTGTTGGTTGGTTGGTTTGTTTGTTTTGGATTGCTTAAGCCTTTGGTTTCTCGGATTCAGGACTCAGCTGCCTGAGTTTCAATTCTGGATCGTCCATTTATTAGATATGTGACTCTTAGAAACAAACTTAACTTTTGCATTGGTTTCCCCATCGGGTTGTTATGAAGATTAAATGAACTCATGGTTGTAAATTATATAGAATAGTACTTTACACTGTTTATTTATAAATTGCACAAATTATTATTTTTTATATATAATTTATTGTCAAATTGGTTTCCATACAACACCCAGTGCTCATCCCGACAGGTGCCCTCCTCAATTCCCATCACCCACTTTCCCCTCTCCCCCACCCCCCATTAACCCTCAGTTCTCAGTATTTAAGAGTCTCTTATGGTTTGCCTCCTTCCCTCTCTGTAACTTTTAACTTTTTCCCCCTTCCCCTCCCCCCTGGTGTTCTGTTAAGTTTCTCAGGATCCACATAAGAGTGAAAACATATGGTAGCTGTCTTTCTCTGCCTGACTTATTTCACTTAGCCTAACACTCTCCAGTTCCATCCATGTTGCTACAAAGGGCCAGATTTCATTCTTTCTCATTGCCAAGGAGTAGTCCATTGTATACATAAACACATCTTCTTTATCCATTCGTCAGTTGATGGACATTTTGGCTCTTTCCATAATATAGCTATTGTTGAGAGTGCTGCTATAAACATTGGGGTACAAGTGCCCCTATGCATCAGCACTTCTGTATCCCTTGGGTAAATTCCTAGCAGTGCTATTGCTGGGTCATAGGGTAGGTCTGTTTTTAATTTTTTGAGGAAACTCCACATAGTTTTCCAGAGTGGCTGCACCAGTTTGCATTCCCACCAACAGTGCAAGAGGGTTCCTGTTTCTCCATCTTCTCCAGCATCTATAGTCTCCTGATTTGTTCATTTTAGCCACTCTGACTGGCGTGAGGTGATATTTGAGTGTGGTTTTGATTTGTATTTCCCTGATGAGGAGTGACGTTGAGCATCTTTTCATGTGCCTGTTGACCACCTAGATGTCTTCTTTAGAGAAGTGTCTATTCATGTTTTCTGCCCATTTCTTCACTGGATTATTTGTTTTTCGGGTGTAGAGTTTGGTGAGCTCTTTATCGATTTTGGATACCAGCCCTTTGTCTGATATATCATTTGCAAATATCTTTTCCCATTCCATCGGTTGCCTTTTAGTTTTGTTGATTATTTCCTTTGCTGTGCAGAAGCTTTTTATCTTCATGAGGTCCCAATAGTTCATTTTTGCTTTTAATTCTCTTGCCCTTGGGGATTTGTCAAGTAAAAAATTGCTGCGGTTGAGGTCAGAGAGGTTTTTTCCTGCTTTCTCCTCTAGGGTTTTGATGGTTTCCTGTCTCACACTCAGGTCCTTTATCCATTTTGAGTTTGTTTTTGTGACTGGTGTAAGAAAGTGGTCTAGTTTCATCCTTCTGCATGTTGCTGTCCAGTTCTCCCAGCACCATTTGTTAAAGAGACTGTCTTTTTTCCATTGGATGTTCTTTCCTGCTTTGTCAAAGATTACTTGGCCATACGTTTGTGGGCCTAGTTCTGGGGTTTCTATTCCATTGGTCTATGTGTCTGTTTTTGTGCCAATACCATGTTGTCTTGATGATTACAGCTTTGTAGTAGAGGCTAAAGTCTGGGATTGTGATGCCTCCCGCTTTGGTCTTCTTCAAAATTACTTTGGCTATTTGGGGTCTTTTGTGGTTCCATACAAATTTTAGGATTCCTTGTTCTAGCTTCAAGAAGAATGCTGGTACAATTTTGATTGGGATTGCATTGAATGTGTAGATAGCTTTGGGTAGTATTGACATTTTATAAATATTTATTCTTCTAATCCGTGAGCACAGAATGTTTTTCCATTTCTTTATATCTTCTTCAATTTCCTTCATAAGCTTTCTATAGTTTTCAGCATACAGATCTTTTACATCTTTGGTTAGGTTTATTCCTAGGTATTTTATGCTTCTTGGTGCAATTGTGAATGGGATCAGTTTCCTTATTTGTCTTTCTGTTGCTTCATTGTTAGTGTATAAGAATGCAACTGATTTCTGTACATTAATTTTGTATCCTACAACCTTGCTGAATTCATGTATCAGTTCTAGCAGACTTTTGGTGGAGTCTATTGAGTTTTCCATGTACAGTGTCATGTCATCTGCAAAAAGTGAAAACTTGACTTCATCCTTGCCAATTTTGATGCCTTTGATTTCATTTTGTTTGATTGCTGATGCTAGAACTTCCAACACTATGCTAAACAACAGTGGTGAGAGTGGACATCCCTATCGTGTTCCTGATCTCAGGGGGAAAGCTCTCAGTTTTTCCCCATTGAGGATGATATTAGCTGCAGGCTTTTCATAAATGGCTTTTATGATGTTTAAGTATGTTCCTTCTATCCCAACTTTCTCAAGGGTTTTTATTAAGAAAAGATGCTGAATTTTGTCAAATGCTTTTTCTGCATTGATTGACAGGATCATATAGCTCTTATCTTGTCTTTTATCAGTGTGATGTATCACATTGGTTGATTTGTGAATATTAAACCAGCCTGCAGCCCAGGAATGAACCCCACTTGATCTTGGTGAAGAATTCTTTTTATATGCTGTTGAATTCAATTTGCTAGTATCTTGTTGAGAATTTTTGCATCCATATTCATCAGGGATATTGGCCGGTAGTTCTCTTTTTTTCTGGGTCTCTGTCTGGTTTGGGAATCAAAGTAATGCTGGCTTCATAGAATGAGTCTGGAAGTTTTCCTTCCCTTTCTATTTTTTGGAACAGCTTGAGAAGGATAGGTATTATCTCTGCTTTAAATGTCTGGTAGAATTCCCCAGGGAAGCCATCTGGTCCTGGACTCTTATTTGTTGGGAGATTTTTCATAACTGATTCAATTTCTTCACTGGTTATGAGTCTGTTCAAATTTTCTATTTCTTCCCGTTTGAGTTTTGGAATTGTGTGGGTGTTTAGGAATTTGTCCATTTCTTCCAGGTTGTCCAGTTTGTTGGCAGATAATTTTTCATAGTATTCCATGACAATTGCTTGTATTTCTGAGGGATTGGTTGTAATAATTCCATTTTAATTCGTGATTTTATCTATTTGAGTCCTCTCCCTTTTCTTTTTGAGAAGCCTGGCTAGAGGTTTATCAATCTTGTTTATTTTGTCAAAAAACCAACTCTTGGTTTCATTGATCTGTTCTACTGGTTTTTTTTGTCTGATTTTTGTTTTTTTTTTTAGATTCTATATTGTTTATTTTTGCTCTGATCTTTATTATTTCTCTTCTTCTGCTGAGTTTGGGGTGTCTTTGCTGTTCTGCTTCTAGTTCCTTTAGGTGTGCTGTTAGATTTTGTATTTGGGATTATTCTTGTTTCTTGAGATAAGCCTGGATTGCGATGTATTTTCCTCTCTGGACTGCCTTTGTTGCATCCCAAAGGGTTTGGATTGTTGTATTTTCATTTTCATTTGTTTCCATATATCTTTTAATTTCTTCTCTAATTGCCTGGTTGACCCATTCATTCTTTAGTAGGGTGTTCTTTAACCTCCATGCTTTTGGAGGTTTTCCAGACTTTTTCCTGTGGTTGATTTCAAGTTTCATAGCATTGTGATCTGAAAGTGTGCATGGTATGATTTCAATTCGTTTATACTTATTAAGGGATGTTTTGTGACCCAGTATGTGATCTATCTTAAAGAATGTTCCATGTGCACTCAAGAAGAAAGTATATTCTGTTGCTTTGGAATGCAGAGTTCTAAATATATCTGTTAAGTCCATCTGATCCAATGTATCATTCAGGGCCCTTGTTTCTTTATTTATTCCCTGTCTAGATGATCTATCCATTGCTGTAAGTGGAGCATTAAAGTCTCCTGCAATTACCACATTCTTATCAATAAGGTTACTTACGTTTGTGATTGTTTTATGTATTTGGGTCTTCCAAAATCAGTGCATAGATATTTATAGTTGTTAGCTCTTCCTGATGGATAGACCCTGTAATTATTATATAATGCCCTTCTTCCCATCTCTTGTTACAGCCTTTAATTTAAAGTCTAGTTTGTCTGATATCAAAGTATGGCTCCTCCAGCTTTCTTTTGACTTCCAGTAGCGTGATAGATAGTTCTCCATCCCCTCATTTTCAATCTTAAGGTGTCCTCAGATCTAAAATGAGTCTCTTGGGGCTACTGGGTGGCTCAGTCGGTTGAGCGTCTGACTTCGGCTCAGGTCATGATCTCACAGTTCGTGGGTTCGAGCCCCACATCAGGCTCTGTGCGGACCTCTCAGAGCCTGTAGCCTGCTTCAGATTCTGTGTCTCCTTTTCTCTCTGCCCCTCCCCTGCTCACACTTTCTCTCACTCTGTTTCTCAAAAATAAATAAATGTAAAAAATTTTTTTTTAAATGAGTATCTTGTAGACAGCAAATAGATGGGTCTTGTTTTTTTATCCATTCTGATACCCTGTGTCTTTTGGTTGGAGCATTTAGTCCATTTACATTCAGTGTTACTATTGAAAGATACGGGTTTAGAGTCATTGTGATATCTGTAGTTTTCATGTTTATAGTGTGTCTTTGCTACTTTGTGGTCCTTGCAACATTTCACTCACAGAGTCCCCCTTAGGGTCTCTTGTAGGGCTGGTTTAGTGGTGGTGAATTCCTTCAGTTTTTGTTTGGGAAACCCTTTATCACTCCTTCTATTCTGAATGACAGACTTGCTGGATAAAGGATTCTCAGCTGCATATTTTTTCCATTCATCACATTGAAGATTTTCTGCCATTCCTTTCTGGTTTGCCAAGTTT